GATTACCTTAGATTTTCAACAGTAAAATAACAGCCGGAGGGCACTCATGAATTTCAATTGTGAAAAAACAGTAAATAATACCTATGAAAATAATAACTGACCCCAACTGCACGACTCTCACATTTGTGGGTGTCAGTTCGTGCGTCATTTTTTAAGGATTGTCAAAATTATAACACTCAAAATAAGTGGGACAATAGAAGTGGGACTGACATTTGCTTGGGGGCAACGTGGGTAATAACAGCGACGTCAAGTAAGAGACATCTCTAATTTTCATCTTCCAAAAATATTTTTTCTAGCATGACATCGATGGATATTAAAGTGATCTTCCATCGTTCTCACCGCAACATTCGGTCTCGTCTACCCTTGTGTGCGGACGTTCCAGTTTGTTCCTTTCCACCACATAGCGGGTAAACCAAGCAGTTACCAGTAAAGCAATCCAGAAAGATGGCCAGCTTCAAGCCGTTTCTTCTCCTGTTGGCATTGGGCACTTGCCTGTTCTTTACGGAGGCAAAACCGAGGCTGACTCGAGAGCTTGGCTCTCTGTATGACGATATCCTTACGAGAGAATTTAAAGATCTTCTCGACGAGAAGCTGTTTGGCCAACGAATGGTAAGTCATATGGTTAACAGCGTCCAAATATCAGTTCTGTTGCCGACTAAATCAATATACTTTCGTTAGTTGAATGTTGCCTTGTATACACCGTGTTTCTTAATACGTCCCTCTATGATCGGCTAAATCCTGGTGATTGAAGTCATCTGTTGTTTGATCTATTAGACATTGGACGAATTAAACGTTATTTGTCCAATGTTAGACTTAGCGCATTAGTTGGTAGAGGAAAATGTTACAGTTTAGTGTCCTTGACGAGCGTCGCATCCAGTCACTAAATTATTCCGGCTGACAGGTTTGGGCTTGTGGTCGGGATTTTCTACAAATCACTTAGACGATTGTTAAAAATTCACGAACTGGAAGGCATCTTATACATGTGAAAAACACTTTAAGACTTATGATTTGATGTAAATACAGCAGTTGCTTAAAATCTAAAGTTTGAAGAGATCGGTGACAAGTGCAATGGGAAATTTTTACTATTCGAAATTCTTAACACCGCTAGTTACTCTGCTTTATAAAAATGCTTAATATGGTAATTTCAGTTCAGAAATGACCAGAGAATGGCAGGAAAACGAGTTATTATCTTTTTCAATGGTTCATTTCAGCCACTTTTTAAGCCCGCTGTATTATCAAATTAATTCACATTTTTATCATACCAGGCGCCATCAGATGTATGGCCTAGGAAACTACGTAGATTCGCCCGCAACTTTGACCTTGACGGCAACGGCGTAGTGACCAAAGACGAAGTCGTTGGAAAGACAGTAGAGGAAGCAAAGAACTCTCTAGACACGGAAACGGCTGCCGAAGTGGCCGACACTGTAGCCGAGGCATGGAAGGCCGTGTTCGGCATGCCTGAAAATGGACTGACGATCAGCTCCGATGATATTGTAAAGACAGCCGACATGGTATGTGGCAATGAAGACAGGAAGAGGGAACTCAGAATATGGGCAAGAAACGTCTTTGAAGAGGCCGACACTAACCACAACGCCGAACTTAGTCGATCAGAGCACGGGCTCTCGTTTAGGATGCTCCATGTTCCCCCTGCTGGTCTCGCAGCATCCTTTGTCGCCGCGGATAGAAACAAAAATGGCTCAGTCGAAAAGGAGGAATTTGTGGATGCAGTTGTAGATTATTTTTGTAATAAATCGCAGGATTCCCCTTTGTTCGGGTAGTAGGTTTCAGTTTAAACGGATGATATACGGAATGCTGTATAGCCTGCTTCTAGACGGTAGAAACAACTACTTTCTAGTAGTTCTCAACAGAACATTTAACGGAAATTTCAAGTAACACATCAAAATGGTCTACTTTCGTAAAAAAATCACCTTTAAATAAATGTCTCAAAAATGTTTTTTATTTTGTTATATGTACCTGTTTAACCCGATCTTTCATATAAAAGAATTTAAGTTACTGTGTAGAAGTTGCCCTCAGTTTTCAAAACGTTAGAATATTAAGATAAACTTTAATTGTACGACCGAAGCCCATAAAATCGCCTATCTAAACTTGACTTTTGAAATTGTGACTGTGTGTATTATAATACGTAAATACACCGAGCTCCCCTTTTATCCATTTTCTATTTACTTGTTATCTATTCTCTCATAATGTCTTTTCATAATGTTTATTAGTGGACTGCTGTCCAGTACGCAAATATTCCAGTGCTGTCTTGTATTGCGCGGTTCTAAAAAGGTTACCTTTTAAACTGTGGCCTCGAGCTATTTTACTTATTTTTTATATTTATCTAAAAATAAATCGGGTCTCCCGCCTTTATCTCCTTCGCATGTTTTAAATAAAAAATAAGTCATGGATGAAGCGGCCGCTGGCGGGCATTACTGGTTGTCGGTTGGCTACTCATCCATGCTGCCTTAGTTGAACCCCTGCAGACGTGGATTATGACAGTGCCACTTGTTGTAGATACAAAATTGGTAATTTTTGGTAAAAATGACTCCCCATGTTGTGGATGGTGTCTAGGGAGATATATGATGTAAAACAACCGCAAATAAAACATTTAATTCAATTGGATGAATTAACGATAGAAATGTCGGTATTTTACCTGCGTTGTGCATTGTTTCTAAGTTGTTATATGATGGTAAAACCCCGTAAATAATATAATTAAATTCAAAACCCTACGAGTGAGGTCTCTCGCCTGGTATCGTGGACCAAGGAGTTACAACTGTTGTAACTCCTTGCGTGGACCAAGAGCATACTGTACGGGGACTCCCGCTTGTCCAAAGGGGCGTAGGATGGGTGGACTGGTTGTATACTCTTGTCACCTGTCATTTTAGGCCATTAATATAAAAGAAAAATGGACGGCAAATGAAATATGAGCAAAAGGTAAAAGGCCAGAGACGAAGAATGGCACTGCTGTCGGTCTGTTAATTATCATTTATGGAATATAAATATGAGAACTGGGCTGCCCTCTATCGGGAAAGAGAAAATATTGTATGCATTAAAGAATAAAGTATTTAATTGTTATCACGGTTTTTTAATTGCAAGGTGGCAATGGCTACCCAAGAAGGCTGACAAGATGATAACCAGCACCAGTTACTCTTCAGATAAACTTTTATCAAAGGTTTTCATTGTCTTAAGAGTCTTAATTGGGATGTAAAAGTTTTACAGGGCATGAATATGACTGTGGGGATTTTCGAACGCATGAAGACGACTTCTAGAGAACATTTTGATGGGAATATCCTATGGAGTGAGTGGCCATTCAAGTCAGTTTCCACAATAGTTGCTCAGGACCTTAATTTTCTTTATTTAATTCGACTGGGGGAAAGAAATTTAATGTTACAAGATAACAAAATAAATACATTTATATCTGCTAGAGGGATTTTTTCAACGTATAGGCGATTTACTGAACAAGTTTTGTTTTGTAAGAACTGCATTAACAAGTAGTTTCTTATAACTAAGAAATACCATCGGTAAATAGAGCCCATATCCACGTAGTGAATATTAATCTTAATTAATCAGTTTCCATCACACAGTTGCTCACCTGGACCTTGATTAATTTAATTTAATTTATTTGACTGGGGGAAAAATTCAATGTTACTAGAGAACAACAAAGTAATATATCTGCTAGACAGATTTTATTACTGAGAGATTTTTTCAACGTATAGGCTATTTACTAACATTAACAAGTAGTTACTTATTACTAGTAACTGTAGTAGTAGGCAAAACACTAACGTATATCATCGGTAAAAAAGTCCATATCCATGTTGTAAAAACGAATCCGATCTCTGCCTGTTGAAATTTCTTAAGCGCAGAAGCAGGCCAAGTCCGATTTTATAATTTCATTTTACCTACAGCCCGAAGAATGGAGAATCTTTAGACTTATTGCAGAAATAGTCTAAAACTGCACTGACAAATTCAACCTTTTCCACTTTGCCGTTCACGTTTGCATCAGCTCCGGTGAAAGACGCCTTGAGGACAGTCGGGGGAACGTGGAACATGCCAAAAGTCAGCCGGTATTCTGCTGAACTAAGCTCAATGTTGTGGTCAGAGTCGGACTCTTCAAAGACGCTTCTCGCCCAAATTCTGAGTACCCTCTTCCTGTCTTCACTGCTGCATAATTTACCGGCTCTCTTTACGAGATCAGCAGAATCGATCCTCAGTCCTTCCTCGGGAACAGCGAACACGGCTTTCCATGCCTCGGTTACAGTGTCGGCAACTTCGGCAGCCGTTCCCTTGTCAAAAGCGCTGTTTGCTTCCTGCAACGTCTCCTCGACGACTTCAGCTTTGCTCACTGTGCCGTCCCCGTTTAGGTCGAAGAGGCGGGCGAAGCGCCGTAGTTTCGTAGCATATATAGCTGATGGCCCCTGGTATGATGAAAAAATAGAATTTCATAAAAAGGATAGGTTTTAAAAAGTAAGAGTAGTCACAGATTATGACGTGTACTCTAAAATACCAGACGAGCTTTGAAATTTGCCACAACGAACAAGTTGTTAAAGTCCAGTAATTTTCTTTGTCCAGTCACAGCCACATGACCATAACAGCCTGCCAACGTCCCTGGTTTCAGATCAGATCGCCGGTTTCTGTTAGTGCGTGGGCGACACATATATACTCGTACAGGGCGTAGCCCACAACATAACATTTGTTCCAGCCAACCCTTGTGTGCGGAAGTTCCATCCTGCTCCCGTCTCCCAGTTGACAAGCACATACTAGTAAACCTATCCAGTACCAGGGGCGGAGCTAGAAATATTTTCTGACAGTCTTCCAAATTATCTTTGTTGATCCATCCTCCATTTTGACCGTCTTCCGACAGAAAAAAATTAGATACCCGTCAATGTAAACTTATTCGCTGTTTCTTTTACAGTTGGCGTTTTGCACTTGCCTTTTAGCGGACGCAAAACCCCGAAAACCATAGTTTTATTGTTATAACTTTGAAATTAATCGACCCGATTAGCTGTGCCGCAGATAAAAAAATTATTAATTAAATTGCAACTATCAGCCATGTAATCAGCCTTGAGATTTCTCAACAGGGTGAGTTGAGCCCTAAATGACCATCTATCTAGCTAGAGACATGTCTGTGAATATCTGTAAGAAATCTATCACTCGCCCTGGTAAAGGGTAGGCCGCCCGCGTGGCAGGCGAGCATTCTACCACTGAACCACCGATGCTTACATTTTATCGAATCGTAGCCAAAAACGGCCCGAACCGACCCCAGACCCCCCTCCTCCCGACTGCCCAATAAAACAATCCGTGATATTAGTCAAATTCTCTACAAGTTTGTGCAGATTTGTTCTGTATTTTGAATTTTTTCCAATTAGCATTTTATCAAACGTAACGCTCTATTTCTATTATATTTCCGTAAGGTAATCTGATGTACATAATTAAAGAATATCTCCTGCTACTGACAGAAGTGCGTGATGAGTTTAATAACAATAAATGACAGAGATGGTAGTTTTACACGTCTATTGTATATGTATGAGGGACATATAAAAGGTGTGTTTGTTAAATTCAAACTAATTGTCCTTAAAGGAATTGTTCGTTTTTGATTTCTTATTACATCTATTATAATTCAAAAATTGAATGCGACGGACTTCACTTGAATTCGAATCGATTGCATGGACACCAAATAAAATTCATTGAAATCATGCAGAAAATGCCACAAGGCAAAGGGCGTGGTCTGAGGTAAAATCGTGACTAAAGAGGGCAGAGAATTTCCACGCTTGGACTATGTACAATATTTATTTATTTATTCATTTCTTGAGACGTTACGCCATTTTATTTACCATATAACAACGAGCATGGTTGATTTCAGTATGAAAATGTCAAGATAAATATAACCTTAACAGTACTTTAAACAAATCACAAACGCACAATTATGGTTTCATGTAATGTAGAAATAACATAACATTCTGACGTCAGAGGATACATAGAAATATGAAAACAAGATAAAAGTGAAGGAAATTTTTAAAATCATTTTTCCATGTCGTCCATAAGCAGGTCATGTTTATCTGGAAAAGACTTGCACGAAAACTAAACAGTTCTCAGTTATGACCATTATTGGAGACCCTTGGTTTCATGCCAACGGCTTACAAATGGCAAATCTAAAAATTTCCCGTCTTGAATTTTTTCCGGTTTAGCGTGCCATAATTTTGTCTGTGACTTTGTTGATTTTGAAAGAGAGAGAGAAATTATGTTTAACGTTAGATCGCAGTGAAGATGTGGTATTTAACTGCTAGAAAATTTCCATAACTTTCATTAGATAAAAATCTTCCTTACTGAATGACCAGTTCGAAAATAAGTTTTAGATAAGAAGATTACGCAAATTATAAAGAAATTGTGAAAAATGATCAAGAAAGTCAAACTCAAGGAAGGTTACAGTTTTTATTTTCCACACAATCCAAATGCAATAAATTACCAATTGTTTTTATTTTGGTTTTTCAACTGAAAGTGTACTTGTACTTTTTGTGTCAATTCTGGTGCAACACAAACAAAAACCGAACGTGGTTAAAAATTTATGATTGTCGTGAAGCACCAGTTACCGCCAGCCTTATTCAAAACACAGTAGAATCTTCGTCGACAAAGAGAGAAGACACTCCTCATGTCATCTTTAAACAAAGCTGTTCGATAGTTAGCGTGGTTATAAACATAGGAAGTCCAAGATTTTGTCTTGAACGGGGGAGGGGGGGTGTAAAACAGTAGAGGGAGAACTTAATTCTACAGTGTGTAATGAACCTTTTTATACATATGGTATGAATATCCTAATTCAAATATATATTTAAATTTCGTATGCAAGCGTAGTCCCGAAATAAGGCAATACGTGTTCGACTTGTTTAGCGCATAACGCAATTCAAAGATTCCACGGTTCTGATTTATTCGTCGACGCTCGGTAACTACATATTCCTAAAACCCGTTCCCATACCTAGATCGATCTCGCAGGCTCGGCACATCTCCGAGGGGTTACTCGCT